GCGATTGTACGCTTATAATTTTGTTTATATGTTTTTTCATAACCAGCAATGTATATTATATGTCATGAATAAGTGATAATTGTGTTTTAATTATGTTTGATTTTTTGTTGCATGTGTCATAACTTTTAAGTTCGTTTACATTACATAAATTACTTGTACAAATACTTGGTAAAACGCGTTTCCCAACTTGTTATACAAATGACATGAAGTAATAAACTGCGCTTCGTCTTCAAATGCAGATACATTCAAATTATCAAAACAATATTTATATGTTCTGTCCTCTCTAGCAACTCCTCCCCTATGACCTGTTTCAATGGCTAACATCTGAATCTATTAAGAACAATTCTTGAATATTTACTTTTCAACTTGTACAGATACCTTTCAGGTTCTAACAGAGATTTGAGTATGAAATAATTATTGAGCTTACTGGTTTCACCTATGGTATATGCCCATGTTTGTTTCTAACAATCTTGCAACCGTCCCTTACAAACTCCATGAAAATGGGAGACATCTCCAACACCCTGTTCCAGCCAAGCTAGACCAAATCCGTGAATATTCAACAAATATTTTATTCTTGTTGTCCACGTGAATCTACCAACTACTTCAAGCTGATACAGCATCAGATAACAAGCCTTTGAATATCTAGTTGTGGGCATCTATACAAATTTCAACCAGATACATGTAGTGGATACCTTCCCAACTTTCCATATAAAACTGATGCTAGGGTGTTTGAATTGACATGAAGAACTTTTCTGAGAAATTTACGGTGAACATTTTCTAGAACCTGAACACTTTCAAACCCACAAACTCCTCATGCATAGCATAAGATGGGAGAAACCACCCTGTCAAATAGAAACATAGACTCTTTGATGTTAAGCTTAGACTTTCTTTTAAACAACCAACAAAATGTACAGAGCCTTTTCTAATTGTTGTGCTAGGGTATTTCTGTCCCAATTCCACGAGAGCTTAAGAGTGAAGAACACACCAAGCTGACACTGGCTTGAGAGGAATACCATTATAATGCCACTTTTCCTTTTATGTTATTACACTACCTCTCTGAAATACCATAACTTTAGTTTTATCTAAATAAATCCTCATCCTATATTGACTGCAAAAGCCTGCTAATCAATCTATCTGATGTTGTTATCTTCAGAATAATAATTACATGCTGAAATAAAATGGAATTCATCCTCTATACCGAATTTACAACATGCGTGTAGAGATACCTCGATATTTAACCATCTTCCTTCATTTACTTTTAATCTTTATAAGCCTGCTGGGAATTTTATAAGAAAATGACAATATTTAATTTCATGCATTACACTTAAATAGTTTTCAGGTTCTAACAAGTCATCCACTCATTTGAAATCTTGTATACAATCGTGATGTATTTGGAAAGTAGTGATGACAATGATGTTGAAGATGAAATTACAACTGATATTCTAGATGCACCAATTTCAGAGTTTGAAATAAGAGAAAGTATACGACATCTGAAGAATGACAAATCTGCAGGAATAGACAATATTATACCAGAGTTTTTCAAGAATGCGGAAGATGTGCTTACGCCTTACCTACTAGTAATATTTAACATTATGCTAGAAAATGCAGCCTTTCCAGAAGCATGGGATACCGGTATTATAATTCCACTGTTTAAGGGTGGGGATCCAAAATTAGCAAATAATTACCGCGGTATCACATTACTTACTATTTTTAGTAAAGTTTTCTTGTATATCATTAATAAAAGACTCGTTTTCTGGGCTGATTCGAAAGATAAAATTCACGGATCACAAGCAGGCTTTAGAGAGGGCTACTCCACCACTGACAATATGTTTCTTCTTCAAAGCCTTGTACAGCGTTATATCTCACGTAAAGGTGGTAAATTTTATGTTTTATTTGTAGATTTTGCCAAGGCATTCGACTCGGTTGATAGGAACAAATTATGGAAACTACTCACCCAGAACGGCTTGAGTAGCAAAATGGGAAAACTATTATGTAATATATATAACAATGTGAAAGCATGTGTGCGTAACAATGGTGTTATGTCATCAACATTTGATTGCAATATTGGTGTACGCCAAGGCTGTATACTAAGCCCATTTCTGTTCATTTTCTTTATAAATGAATTAGCGTCAGTTGTGTATCAAAATTGTACAGATGGTATTCAGTTGCGCCCGGACATTGTTAAGGTATTTTTGTTATTGTTTGCTGATGATGTCATCATGTTCTCAAGTACAGTGAAGGGTCTACAAAAACAAATTACCTTGCTGGAAAGCCATTGCCTTGAATTTAAGCTTAATGTAAATGCAAATAAAACAAAGGTTGTTGTCTTTAAGAAAGGCGTTAAATTGTTCAAATCAGAAAAATGGCTTTATAACGGAGACTACTTAGAAGTTATTAAAGGATATAAATATCTAGGGGTCCATTTTGCCAATACGTTATCATGGTATCATCATGGTAATAGTGCTGCTTTACAGGGACGGAAGGTTTTTATGGGCATTTACAGTAATTTAAAGAAATTGGGCAATGTAAATTTCAAAACATATTTCAAAATATTTGATACAAAAATTAAACCAATTTTGCTATATATGGGGCAGAGGTTTGGGGTTTTCTCGGTTGGAAGCATTGGAAAAGGTTCACTTGTACGCGTGTAAAAAAGTCTTAGGAGTTAAATTAAATACCCCAAATGTGATGATCTATGGTGAATGCGGTCGCTTCCCACTTTATCTAGAAGCACAGATAAAAGTTATCAAATACTGGGTAAAGCTCTTGAATATGCCTGCATCAAGATTTCCTAAGAAATGTTATAACATGATGTATTTGTTTGACACCAACGGTAAATCAAATTGGGTAACGAATGTTAGAAATTTACTAAATCATTGTGGTTTTAGTGATGTATTTTTGTCACAAAAGATTACCTGCCCGAAGTCATTTTATAATGCTTTATCGCAAAGATTAAAAGATATGTACATTCAGACCTGGAACTCATCTTTAATACAGTCGCCCAAATCCACTTTTTACAGTACTTTTAAATCTTTTTCCATACAGAGCAATACCTACACGATATCAATCTTCGAAAATTCCACGTTTCATTATCCAGATTTAGATGCTCTTCACATGATCTTATGATCGAGAAGGGCAGATATTATAATATTCCAAGAGATAACAGATTGTGCAAATTTTGTGCACTAAATGTAATTGAAGATGAATTCCACTTTTTGCTGGTATGTCCTTACTATGCTGATTTAAGGACAAAATATCTACCACAATATTACTATTCACATCCTACCATGTTTAAATTTAATTTGATAATGAACTCTAATAATACAACTTATATTCGTAAACTTGGTATGTATATCCACCATGCTTTTGAACAAAGAAAATAACGTTTGCAAACATTGTGATTGTATGCCATTATTGTTTTTATATTTTGTACTATAGGCCTGTGGCCTCTTCAGTAATGGAATAAAGAGATTTTGATGAAATGTGGGATTCACTTACGATTTAATATTAGATTTTGATAATGATTATCATCAGTGACAACCAATAAGTCGTTAAACAGCACCAATGTAGTTTGGGATGTTAGGTTCTATCTGTGAATGAGATATTGTGTGCATGTGGGGGGCAGCTGGGTGCGGTGATGTATGCTAACAATCTTGTTAGTCTACTTTTGAGTGTAAAGTAATGGTATAGTTACGGATGAGGGAAGTTGGGTTTAAGTGTGTGTGTGTGTATGTCTCTATAAAGTGAACGATATTGGAAGGGTGTGGTCAGTACTCTGTGAGGTGAAAGGGTGAAAGGGATGGGTGTGAGGCGGATGAGAAATTGAGCTATCTCCCTTATGTGTGCATGTGTGTGGATGGTGAATGCACGAGTGGATATGTGTTTCTTGTCCGTGAGCTTTAGATTTGATTATGCTTGTTGATATGATGTGAAAGGTTTCCCTTTCTCCTCAATTTTTTAATATATTTACTTAGATGTTTTAAGGCCTCTCATAACCGTTATGGTAGCTTAAACATTTTAACTTGCGATATACATGTATTGTATTTTAGACTTTGTTTATTTCGTCCCACCAAATACATTTACAATCTCTCTCTCTCTCTCTCTCTCTCTTCTCTCTCTCTCTCTCTCTCTCTCTCTCTCTCTCTCTCTCTCTCTCTCTCTCTTTTTTCCCCACTGGATTTCCTGGGTTTGCAGTGGGATGGAGGAAAAACCGGCCTTCCCAAGAAAAAATGGGATAGGATTAGGATTTCCATATAGACATATAGGAAGTAGGAAAAATATAGGAAAAATTTCAACATGCCTCCGAAAAAAGAACTGTCGCAAGACCAAGTCCAAGAAATACGTGCACTTCGAGGTGTGCTGTCGGCAGCCGAGACCAAAAAGCGTTTCGGTATTGGATCGCAAAGACTCTACGACATATGGCGAGATCCGATCGAGGAAACCACAACCATGCCGCCAGTCAAACAAGAAGTACCACCACCATCACCAGAAGTATCATTGCTAGTCATCGAACCATTGTCACAAAAGGTGACTCGAGATAAATCGAAAGTAGAAATACCCGGTAGTACATTGCCAACCATCCAGGACATCTACAACCGCCTGGGGTAGATCGACACTCGTGCGAGGCAAACCACGAATATGTTGGTCGACGTCTTGTCTAGGCTGGACATCGACGACGACGAGGATGATTCCAAACTGCACTCTAGACAAAATGGACGAGGAACAAAAGAACAGACCAATTTCGACATCCAGAAGGTGGGGCAGATGGTGGAATCGACCCAAAGATGGGTCTATATTTCGCTAGTTGCCGTTTTCTCTGGAAGGTCGTCCACAAGACCTGGAAGCACAGCACACCGGCTAGCACGCCGGCCCACACATACCGGTCGACGAGAAGACAGAAACGCCCAAACCAGTTTCCACGGCCAAACTCGGGGTCCCCACTATATGGAGTAGAGAAGTCGATGTGTGGAATGCAGCCTATTTGGAAAAAAGTATTGTAGTAGGGTATACGAACCATGCGTTTGTTTTTTTCGTCCGGGCGTGCGCCCTACTTTCCGTACCACGAATTCCACGAAAAGCAGTTGGAATACGAAAACGGGCCTAGACAAGTCTACGACTCCATTCGTCTTTTGCAACCCCAAGCCCGCGACTGTGCATCTGCAAAAATACTAGGCGAGCTGTCGGAGGGTCTGTCTAGAAAACTATACAATTGGGGTAAGACTAGACTATTTGCTGTCGGCTATGGAAACAGTCTGTGTGGTGCCAGTTTTTTGCATACCTGTCTTGGTATCGGGTCGAATATGGGGTTTGTGGTTGCCGAAAAAATGGGTAGCCCTAGTGAAAATGAGATTCTTATAAAAGCCCTTGATTTTTCCCGACCGACCCCATGCTCACTTAAAAGTCAATATTTCAGAAACTATTCGACCGATTTTCGTCAAATTTTGCATGCAACTCAATAGTAGTGTATACAATGATGGTACGGGATTAGTGCCTCCCCCAAGGGCTCAGTTTTGTAAATTGAGTCCTTGGGGGGACCTGGTCCTGTACCATCATTGTATATACTACTGTTCCAGATATATCAAATTCAGTATGCAGTCGATCCATTAACCTGTCACTAATGACCTTGTCCAACACACAATTCAAAGCTGTTTCTGTATTGTGTGATGCTCTGTACGCAGATTGATGCTTGTCCATTAACTGAAATTTGTTAAGGTGTCGAGTTAACTGGTGTTTCACAACTTTCTCCTGCACTTTAGACAAAAAAGATAAGTTTGAAACCGGTTGGTAGATGGAATACTGTTCAGAATCTAGTGAAGGCTTCTTTATAAGAGGCTTTATCACAGCGGGAGGGAAAGATGCCAGTTTCCAAACTTTTGTTGACAATACTGGTGACTGTGGGTAGAAGAGTGTCCAAAATTTTCATGAAGAACTTGGTGGGTACAGGATCCAGGTGACAACATGTTATCTTGGAGGGCATAATGATCTTTCTAATATCAGCATCACAGACAGGATCAAAGATAGATAGATTTATTTCCTCCTTAGCATATGAAGATAAATGCAAGGTTTACAGGTACATTACAACAAGTAAATCAATATGGAATTATATGGATATACACATATGGTATTATGTGTATGGTATTTATACATGTCAGAAATTATACACATTCATAGAAATATCGTTTCCACAACTTAATAGTTCTGCATATTCGGCTTATGCACATTGCCCGTGTTTCATAGTCGAGGGTCTTCGTGCACTGAGTAGGAAGACCCCCAAGTAGAAAATAATATATCGTCATCATTATTCCTGAGGTTACTAAACGTTTCTACATCAAGAATGTCGATTAAATCTTCAATTAGTCTGTCTCTTTCATACTGCGTTTCAGTACAATAAAGAAATACATGTTTAACAATGTCATAGGCAAACGTACCACAAAGACATTCATGAGATTGAATTACGTTAGTACCTTGTTTGAGTGGCAATTTAGAAGTTGAGTACAATATGGAACATGTTGTTATGGATAACAACTTCTTTACTTCGTGAGTACGTTTCGATACAGATTCTTGTACCGTTGTCAAGCAAGAGTGATACATGAAGTGGAGGAGCTGCATATTTATGCTGTGTATAACAATGAAACTACATACATTGTAATTGACAAAGGAAACAACATAATTGCCATAATTGGTTAAGCAGTAAGCTGATGAAGCCAGTGAGTACACAAAGGATAGTGAATGGAAGCCAGAGATGTATAAATACAGGAGTGGAACAATGAAGGAGATGTTTATACAATAGGTGCGATGTTTATACAATAGATTGGGCTTGGTGGAGGAGTGGATCATAAGCTGATGGAATAAAGTATCCTTGGTCACGGTTGATGGTGGGCTTATGGCGTTTGATGTGAATGGCTTCGGTGAGCTTGCGTTTAGTGAAGTCCGTTTGGTTGTTGGCGAGAATGGTGAAGTCGGACCACTCTATTTGATGATTGGGGTTTGCTTTGATGTGGTCAGAGATAGCTGATTTGGTGTCGGAGTTAGCAACAGAGGTGCGATGTTCTTTGACTCGGGTGTTGATGGGTCGGGATGTTTCACCTATGTAGCTTTGTCCACAATCACAGTTTATTTTATAAATAACACATTTCGGGTTGTTGTTGTTGTTGTTGTTGACGTAAGTACCGATGTGTAATAGTACTGCAATGTCAAAGAAGCATAGATGTTTTTCTAGGGCAAGACACCACAACCTGCTCGGACAGTTTTCATAAGTAAGGTGATACCGTGCTAAAGCTGCTCTTGTAGAAAGTTCTGAAATAATACATTTGGTGTCTGCTTCATGGAAGCATAGTTCTCAGTCTCATATCTATATAACATAAAGCCAACGTCACTGGCACAATCCTCAAACAACTACCTAAAACACCCGTCAATCCACCATAACTAATATCACAAACAACTACTTAAATACAACCTACCCCAATCACACACACATATATACAGATGCATCAGTCAGCTCTAACAAACCCACAGGCCTAGGCATTCACGTTCAACAAACCCTCCCATCACAACAAATTTTCACTATACCAACTATACCACAATAAACACTGCCGAACTCACTGCCATTCTCACTGCATTACACCTAATACCCTCCCTTCCCAAACAAACTTCCTTATACTATCCGATTCACTCAATTCTATCAAACAACTTCACAACATGCATTCTAAATCGCGCCCAGACCTAATTCACAATATAATTATTCAAACAGACTCACTCACACGCTCAAACAAAAACATCACATTCACATGGATACCCAGTCACTCAAACATCACAGGAAATGTCACCGCCGACACAGCAGCCAAACTCGCCACATCACACATCACCAAACCTCAACTTCCACACATCCAAATCAGAAATTAAAAACTCATTAAAACAAACATATCAAATACCAACTTTCAACACAACATCAACACAAACAAATCAACCTGGGTCACATCCATTATCAAATCCCCAATAAGAAAAATTCCCACATATTCTAACATCAAAATCATCGACAGGGCAATTACCAGATTAATTACAGGCATCACTAACCTAAACTACACACTGTACAAACAAAACAGACACCCGGACGGATTATGCACTCACTGCAACACCCATGAAGACATAAACCATATATTCACACACTGCCAGCTGCAACAAACAAACATTAAGCAATTACACAACAACATTCCCACCAAATACCACAACAACATTCATCTCCTTCTCAACCCCCACAACCCGCCCAATATATTCCAAGCCATAGCCACCTTCCTTGAAAACTCCAACTTACTTCAAAAAATTTAGAAGCTCCCAAACAAACCCTCTCATTACCACTCACTTCTAGCCTATATATTCAGATCAGGCGTCAAAATTCAATTTACCCATATTATCACCAGCACATGCCTACACATTTAGACCCGGGAGTAAATTTCATTCATCAATAGTGCCCTAAATCCGCTGCGAGGTCCGCGCCCATCCCTAGCCAATCACAGTCCACTAAAATGTAAACAAACCAGCCCAACCTCTCTTACGTAAGGTCAATGCCATTCACCCAAGCCAGCTCACCTCCAACCTTCACTTATAGCCACGGCCCTTACCCACAGCCTTCTTCGCTCCCTCACCCCATTCCCCACCCCCTACCAACTTAATCCATTTTTCTTTCTTTATTAAATCCCCTTATATTAATTATGCAGCTCACCTGCATTCATATTCATGCCCCACTATGCTATACTCCCTTATCATCTCCCCTCCCCTCCACTACCCCTACCAAACACCATAGGTCCAACATTTTCACTACTACTATTCAGCTATTACTCTACCTCTTATCCCTATAAATTCAATTGTACTGTTTTTTCTTTCTCTCCCCCTTTCCATTCCTAATACCGGCTTTTTATTTATTTATTTTTCCCATGTTTTTAACGTTTTTCATTTCAAAATCACGCCTAGGTTAATGCCCCATTATTTATATTTTTTAGGTACGGTGGTTTACTCCTTATTCAAACCTATTTATTATTATCTTACCCACCACCTACCCCGTCGGCGACATTGGCTACAGCTAAAAGCCGACGTTAAACTCCAAATCATCATCATCACTGGCTTTCCTCCAGTTAACACGAGCGTTTCCATAGGACCGGTGACGAGTGTCTGGAGCTAAGTATACCTGTATGGGATAGTGATCAGATATACTGTAAAGCTGACGGTTATCTATGGCGTAACCAATAACATTACATCTATGCTCTGTGTTGTCAAAAACATAATCAATCATAGTTTGGATATCCCTACATTTGCTTGTATAAGTATATAATGTAGGATCATCAAGTGGAATGACAGATATCAAATTCCGTTCATTCAAGGCTCGAATGAGCATTCTCGATCTAGATTTCATGTGTTAGATCTGTGTTAAAGTCACCGACCAGGACAGTCTCATCGTTATATGAATGTCTGCCATATGCCTCAAAGAGGGTATTCATGTCTACAGTTCACCGGCACATGCCATTAAGTGTTCACAATTTGCAGCTTCAACTATCAATTTCTTATGCTGGTATGCATATTAAATGAATCACCGAGAACAAGTAGTAGAGTTGGTCTACGTTAACGCCCATCACGTACCGCATGTGCATTTGTTTAACTGTTCCAACTATTGCGCTTACCCCCTTTTAATACAAACCAATAATAGCGATTTGAATCTATGATCGTTTGTAAAACAATTTTTATCCTAAGTTGAATAAAATTCTGAGATTTAAATATTCAATTGGCAAGGTAAAATTATGAGGATTCGCCATCTTAATGTCACTGTATTTGATTACTTTTTTTTTACATTCATCGGTACGTTTTCACTGCAAACAGACTATAGAATGTCTTGCCTATCATAACTCAAGAATAAGATATCTGTACTACTGTCCGCAAACCACTATCATGTCACTGCTAACATATGGAAATCCTACCTTGCTCCTGACAATTGTGTAAAATTGATTAAGGAATCACATGTCTTGAATGAGTAATTACTGTGTTAAAATTAAATTCGTGCCATTATTATTCAATTAATGTATGTTCTTGTTGTGTGTGATTTTACGTGGGCCAATGGCTTTTAAACCGAAGTAAACTCTCTCCAGTACCGGACATTTTCCCAAGACACATACATTTCAGCTGATGATGATGAAGATGATGGTCTGAGGTTATGCAACTTGGGCAAACACTATACAGTGAGTGAGTGTGAGTGAGTTTAGTTTTACGCCGCACTCAGCAATATTCCAGCTATATGGCGGTGGTCTGTAAATAATCGAGTCTGGACCAGACAATCCAGTGATCAACAACATGACCATCGATCTACGCAATTGGGATACGATGACATGTGTCAACCAAGTCAGCGAGCCTGATCACCTGATCCCGTTAGTCGCCTCTTGCGACAAGCATGGGTTACTGAAGGTTCATTCTAACCCAGACCTTCACGGATCCTTATGACAGACAGACAGACAGATTTTATTGACGCAAGCCACATGGGCCTCTGGCCATACATACAATACAATATAGATAATATTTATGTTGGATGGTGAGGATGACATTATTAATAAGTTAAACGTTGTTTCTTACACGGAATGCTTCATACACATATCTGCCTAGAGACCTTTGAGTATTAATATTTTCTGATGATAATAACTGTATACATTTATAAACTGAATAATTCTTACAATAATAGTTCTTTAAATGAATAGATCTTAGGTTAGTGTACGATGGACACTTGAGCAGAAAGTGAAATTCGTCTTCTATGTCATGGCTGACGCAAATTAAATGGAGTACGTTTTCCCAAGAACCTATCCTTATGCTGAAATCAATATCTGTCAGCTATTTCAACCATTTTGATAGACGAATATCGTTTGGAAAATGCTATCGTCGTCAAAACAGAACTGTTATACTTTTGCCCTTCGCCTACAGGACGGCAAGAAAAAACAATAGTATTATCAACCTTTAGGGAGTGGCCTTCATTTTATGGTTAACTTCATAGTTTGGGAAGTATCTGATTTTACGTACAAACGACATATGCATCTTCGTTTGTCAAAAATATATATATTTACGGCGCAATGTAATACAAAGGAGACAAGAGGAAAAGATTAGTATATAGCATATGTTATATTCGGGATTACACTTTCTTAGTATAGTATAAATTCTAGTTCTTTTTCTTAGTTGAGTCCCATTCCGGGAACTTAAAAAAAAAGTACTAGAATTTGTACTTTACTAAGAAAGTGTAATCCCAAATATAACATATATTACATTTGACCACTTTCTAAAAGAAATCAAAGATTATTATACTTATTTACCTTGCATGCATCGTTGATCGGTAGTGCGGCACTCATATCGCTGGGCATGTTTACTTGCTGCAAACACACTGACAAATGTAAAAGAGTCCTCGTATTATTACGCTGCTGCACAGTTGAAAACGAGGTCTCGTTTTATTTACAGGGTAGTTGGGTATGGCTGCAACAGCTAACGACTTAAAGGGGCACTGATCCAGAGCGATTAATGTTTCGCGCAAACAATCTAATTACGCCAGGTAGCGGGTCCGTGCTCCCTCGACAGTGATGGTCATGGGAACTGGCCAGCTGTCCATTTTGGAAGATTTTTTTTCAACCTCAACAATGGGACAATAAGAACGGTGGATGCCCATTAGATGCCGTTTTGAAATATTACGGTAGTGTTTGTCTGATTGTAATAAAATATCCCAGATTTTCCGATCCGTGGATGGCATGACTGATCCAATTCGATCTTATTTATGTCTTTTTACCTCGATATGTATTCATGTAATGTAACAATGTGATGTATATTGGTCTATGATATAAACAACACACATTTGAATCTGTAACCTAAATCAATCCCACTTTGCCATTGCTAGAAAAATCTGAAAACTCCATTCGTATCCTGAAAATAGCGTTGTCCCCTAACTTTTTAGGCAATTAAAATTGTATGTAATACAGCTCCCTTGATGTAATCCATGTTTGGTGGTATAAACCTACACCTGTTTATTTGTCACCATTCACTTGATGGTCAGTTAATGAATTTATAACAGGTATAATTAGTGGTAACACCAGGCAGATTATCCGATAAAGGTTCCTATTTAGCATTTCTCAGCTTTTGAGTAAATGCCCAAAGTTATAAATTGAGGTCTGATGTGGCAAATGTATTACATGGTTTGTAATATGCGCATGGAACTGCAGCAAGAGGAATTATCAGCTGAGTTACAAAAACAAACATCGATCAAAGGATTCACCGATAACATGTTGATTGATTAATTGCGTTTATCTCGCACAGCGGATTTGTTCAAAGGTAGTGTTTATGTATGTAGATTTAGTAGTCTATACTGAATACACCTTGTCGTAAAGTGCCTGTGTAAAAACAACGTCCTTCCTTCAAAGGATTAACAGCCAAAACGTTGATTGATTGCTCATTGTTATCTAACTAAATTACCTTTTTTAAAGAATGGTACACATCATGCAAATAGTTGTGAGGTGTGCTACCTGAGATGACCAATGAACCTATACCCCAATGTGAAAAACCTGAAACAGTCACGTGACCAGTTGAGAAACTGTCTACATTTTTTGCATATTAAACTAATAAATGAATCATAACAGCTGCAAATGAATGACATAACGTTCCTCTATGTGGATAGTGTTGGATACGCTCCTCGAACGAGGTAATAGCCTCCTATTATTGCTATAATTTTAGTCGGTTTAAAGTTTAATTTTTGTAAAAAAAATTTATTCATTTGTTGTAGCATTCAGCAAAATCATTCCACTTCATTTTTTCATCGGGAATTTTGATTAGACAGAAATTAGGTCGCGCGTGTGTGAAATATGGTTCCGCTTGCAATCTAAACAATATCTAGACATTACAGTACACTAAATCAGATCGTGTACTTTTCGTGAAGTTCCAAAATGCATAAAATTATAATAATAAATTCTAAATGATTATGAAACACATATAGGCAGACATACACTGACTTCGTACTTTTTCAGTCCTAACATTTTGTATAACCGAGGGATGAAGTTAAACTTCACTTTGTGTACATTTGTTGTCATAATAATAAAGATGGAGTATTATGAGTAAAAATGATTTCATCTTAGTTGATCAAGGTAAGCATATACATATTATACTTATAGTACCAATTGCACTTGCGGTTGGCGCAACAGAGATCACAACCCAGTTAAGGATTCAGGGATACTATCCGGGTAGTCGCGGGGGGAAAAACAACAATAAAAGCAATAACCAGTCCCGCGGAATTTGTCTCTATCAGTGTCCCTTAAAACATTTTCCCATAGAACAACGACTACTGTTTAAAATCATTCAACCCAAGCAGGAAGTTACAGCATCTGAGATAAACAGAATGCAAAAGACTCTTAAAGTATTAGTTAACGGTTAATTATCCTGTCACGAGGTAAGACATGAGATCATGGCATTATGCAACTTTGAACGTAGTCTTTGTAATTTCTGCCGGTGATCTACTGTCACACAGGCCAATCCAATGAAAGCATCTCACTGATGTAAACGCAGTGATCCAACACTTTTCTGTTTTATTTTCATATTGTTTACAGTGAGGTGTTAAATGCTGTTTATCTTTAATTTTACATTCTAAATTCCTTTACTCCACCATCTCAAAGTCTCAGTTAAAAGTAGGAAGTTCATTCAGATGTAATTTTTCAACTAATGATCGTAAGAAAGACACTGGTTTCCACACAATTCCCCAGATACGACAATTGCTAGGAAATGGAGTTACCGGAACGAGTCTTTCACGTTAGTAATAACCAGGGAAGATTTGCTTACCCTGGGTTAAACCTGATGCAGAGAGATTAGGGATTGTGGGCCAATAAATCAGCTTATGAATCCCTGTACAGTGATTATACCCAGAGAGCATTAGCTCCGTGTAAGGAAAGGGAGTTTGTGACCATTTGAAGTCAGGCTGTCTCTATGAACGATCACCAACTGGCATGTGAGTACACTTTGAAAATACAAACATTGCGATATTACAAATCCGTTCTACAATTCAACATCAAGTTGTTTTAGAATTAACTAAGAACTTGTTATCTGCTAAAAGATAGATTCGAAGGCTGAACTAATAACTCAGGTGTTCAGGGAGCGTGTCTTACATACTGACTGACTGACTGACTGACTGAGTTTGGTTTTATGCCGCTTTTAGCAATATTCCAGCAACATCACGGCGGGGGACACCAGAAATGGGCTTCACACATTGTACCCATGCGGGGTTTCGAACCCGGGCCTTCGGCGTGGTCTTACATACATGTACATATATGAGGATATATATTTAACTTTTAATCTTTTTAACGATGTCTACGTGTTCAGTTTAAAGTAAGCAAAATGTTTACAGCAAATTAGATGCGAAAGTCCCAAAATATGTTTAAATACGAAGACATAAATGGCTACATGCAAGCTGACACTACATAGGGCTGTGCAGTCACACTGCATTCATAGGCTTCTATGGTTAACTTGTGGAGGGATTTATGTTTTCCAAGCAGCACGTACAATGGGATGGGGAAAGTTGCTACAGTCAAACACCTTGGTGTCGAAGTTAGCGATTTCAGATTTCTTTATAACAGTATAAAGACCCAGAATACATACTTGATTTTGTTTACATATGCTGCGCCTACCGGTAATATATAGAGAGATGTACAATCATATGCTAGAAATTGTGGTTAAGGCGATCGCTCGTCACGCCGAAAGCCCTGGTTCGAAGCCCCACATGGGTACAATGTGTGATGCTCATTTTTGGTGTCCCCCTCCGTGATATTGCTGGAATAATGCTAAAAGCGGCGTGAAAATATACATTGTACATTGTAAACGCACAAATGAAAATGACCAGAGCGCCCATTCGTTTATTCAACTGACCTTGTAATTTCCTTTGAAGATCACAATGCCGTCGGCAAACTGTTCTCCTTCTGGTTCCCAGAGCATGGGTATCCTCGGACAGTCCCGTTATCAACTTGCCATCGACGGTCGCGGTAACGCATGGTGCGATACAAAAAAACAGAAGCCAAAAAGCGCTACCCAGCAGAACAACACTCGTGTTTCAGGGCTGTCCCAAAGGAGGATCAAGTCAGGTAGCAGTAAGGGTACCAATGGGACTGAAGTGCAGAATGGACATTCTGGAGGCGTTAAGGACAAGACGTCGACACAAATGCGCGGATTCAGTGACAGAATATCTAACATTCTATTGAACGCCTCCAATACAAGGTCGACATCTGTGGACAACATGCCAGAAGGTAGAAGTAAAAGATCCGTGGAGAAAAGAACAACTGAACTACTCAAACGAAGGAAGAATGTAAACACGATGTCAAAATTTCAAAACAGAGGAGCGTATACTGGGAAGGTACAACCAATAGGAACAAAAAGCAACAGTGAATCTAACGGGCTTTCTGAAACGGATTACAAGGACAAGAAGCCATCACAAAATGCTGGGCAAGGGACGGAATCTCCAAAGCACACACCAACAAGTGTGCAACCAGATACAATAGATCGACTAAGGTCACCATCATCACATTGTCCTGATCGTTTAGCATCTCCCATCCTGGAATCTGGTGAAGGTGGGTCTCCGGTGAGTTTTATCAGAGACCTAGACCTGAAATCAAGCTCAATGCGAGCTGAGTCGTCCGCGTCAAGATATTCCACAAGGAGCTCGGTCACTATCCCAATAAACACCAGCACCCCCATCTCTGCCTGGAGTGACTACACCGTCCCGGACGAGGAGGAGATGAGGCAGAAACTGCTGAAGGGAAAGTTTGGGGCTGAGTTTGAGAACTATTACCCACACGTTTCCAGGAAGAAGTTGCTGGCAGTGCCTATACCATCTGATGATGAAGACTATGATACAGATCTAGATGAAGGTATGGCATCTATGCTGATCGTAGAACCACTGTGTTACACAATGGCGTCTACCAAAATGCTACATTATGCAGAAATAAGTGTCACTTGCCTTTTCAAACAGTGGCATCACATATTGTTACTTTTGAGAAAATCTTCATCAACAATTGCTTGTCGTAAAAGGCGACTAACACGATCGGGTGGTTACGCTTGTTGACTTGGTTGACATATGTCATCATACCCCAATCGATGCTCACGATGTTGATCACTGGATTGTCCTGACTGGATTATATGTATTTACAGGCCGCTGCCATATATCTGGCATATTGCTGAGTGCGGCGTTATACAGCCGTTAAACAAACAAACGTTGCATATGCATCATATTTAACAGTGTATCCATAGAGCGATCAGTGTTGTTACAAATGTTCAAAGGATTACCTGATAGCGATAATTCGATTACTAACCAACGTATTTAAAATAGTGGTTTTGTGAAATGATCAACGCGGCGAGGCCTTAAGTTACAAAGCGATTTAGCCCTATGTCTTATTCAACTGTTCATAGTCCCACCATAAATGCAGCTTATAGGATAAAAATGTCCCTTACAGGACGCGGCGTAGCTATCTGAAACGTACCTTCAGGCCCCGATTTCACGAAACAAACTTAAGCTTTTACTCAAATTTCAAACTGAGTTGGACAATTTGAAACAGCTGAATTTTTAAATAAAAAAGCCCAAACGACTTAAGTAATCTATCCACCAAACTCAAATCGTCTACTATGTTTGAGTTTAATATCGATTTTAGTTCATTCTGGGAAATGCATTTTCTCAAATTTGAGTAAAAACTCTAACTTAAGTAGAAACTAAGACTTACGTTTGTTTGAGAGTACGGGGCCTGGGTATTCATTGAGCTTGGGTGTGTCTGGGGAGGGAGGGGGTGTTCGTGTGTAGGATTGACGTCTCTAACGAAGCTGCTGGAGCTTGCAGTGCGGGTAAACATTGTGTTGGACCCATACAAATTTTGTTATGCAATACATTCTTTGTTGGTCGGGTCATGCAGACATTCCTTTCGACATGTCTCACTGGGTTTAATTTCACTGGGTTTATAAAATCGATGTTCCGGGATTGCGTAAGGAGGCAGTTAGGCGTTAACACTATGGCGTTCGACGCTCCGAGCATTTAGGAAAACAAAATACGTTATACAGTACATTGGGTAAGAGTTCCACCCGTAACCCCCACTTGAAATGTATTCTATTTATTACGATTATTTATAGCGGTTAGGGTTTAGGTTTAGAGTTTAGATTTAGCTTAATGTAAGGTTTAGGGTTAAGTTTAGGGTTAAGGGTAGGCTTTCTATGACAACGCCATTATGTGACGTCATTCTTTTCCTTGTTCTTCTTGTACTTGTAACCTACATGATGTAAATTTCTGTCACCGTATACGTTCTCTGTGAAGGTAACCGCAACCTGCGCATTTGCCATATTGACATCGTTTATGTTGCTTACCTAGCTTATATAGTTACATATGTATCCGTGAGAAGAAATGTGACAAACCTGATACAAATCTAGGTAATTTTCCTCATTTCAACAACAACAGATACAAATACAAATCTTGGCAACTTTTCTCATTTCAACAACAACAGTTGTGTACTTTCGCCTGTATCTGTATCATTGAGAAGGAAATGTGACAAATCTATATAGTGAACTCAAACTCAAACTCTTTTCTCATTTCAACAACAATAGCACTCATGTCTTCTCCCTCGTTAATTAGAGTAGAGCGGATTAGCGCAGTCTTTCTGCTGTTCGCAGGTCCAAGGCAGTCGACACTCCGGCTGTTATTAGAGCAGTGTTGAGCATTGCCACGCTCCACTACTTTTCGACAGTCCGGGTGTGTAGTCGATAAAACATTCGACAGTCCGGGTGTGTAGTCGATATTAGAGCAAAACATTCACTACAGTCCGGTAGTCGATAAAACATTCGACAGTCCGGGTGTGAACCTACAATGCGTCACGTACGTGATTATTGGTCGGTAACGTACGATTCGCTGAACTCATACATATACTGAAAACCATATAAGACATACAGTACATGTCTGTGTTCATGTAAGTCAGCATGTATATATATATATATATATATATATATATATGGGTTCACACACGTACGCGACGCAGTATAGGGCCGGGTAAGGGATTGTAACTCACATCAACGGATGTAAGCACATGTCTGATTAGCAAATTGAAGCGCATTGAACCCCCCAATTTAGCCTTCGATGCTCCTTGACTACCGGACCGCCTCTGTGGTGTAGTGGTTAAAGCGTCCGCCCGGAGAGCGGAAGGTCGCGGGTTCGATCCCCGACCGCATCATACCAAAAGACGTTAAAGTATGGTACTTGTTGGTCCCTGCCTGGCGCTCGGCATTAATGGGTACCACAAGGACTGGTCGGCTCGGAGTCAGTATAATGTGTCTGAGTGGGGTATTCATGCTTCACTGCGGCATGGTATCTCAGTGGGCTGGCACTATAAAACCAGCTTCAGTCTGGGCTAGTACAAGCAGCCGCACATACACGTACACACGCACGCACGTCGTCATATGAGCGAAATATTCTCAAGTACGACGTTAAACCAAATTTCACCTCACCTCACCTCCTTGACTACCGATTGTAAGGTGATGTCGTAATGTCATTGATGAATTGTTGCTGTTCACACCAGGTGCCGACTTGGTGTCTGTTGAGAGAGCAAGACAGAGAAGAGAGGATAGCCCCTTCCCAGATTACAAACACATGTGTCGTACGCTGCACAAAGTTCCCAACAGTTATTTCATACGTCATGCTTTGGAAGATGATTTTGCAATGAGATTTCGCTACCTTGGTGTAAAAGACACAAAGGCATTGTCAAAGGAAATAAAGGTAAGTAATTAAAACTGTATGCAAACTTGTATAAAACATCGCATGGGTATTTGTTTTTCGCAAAATTCAAGTAAAATTCCCCTGTAAGGATGGAGGGATTTCGCAGGGGTGTTGTGACATTTCTACGCAACTACATCCTTTTATGGGACAGAGAAGCCATGTGTGGAATGAACAGTGATCCTATTCCAAACATCTTAAAGTACGTACACACATATTTGGACGGCTGTGGGTCGCATTACCCACTTAATTGCCATGACAGATTAAATATTGGATGTTTCTTGTATTCCTTTGAGTAGTATATATGCCTTAACGCTTTGAAAACATTGTCTGCTGTTGTCAATGTTTTTCTCTATTCATATTTATATATCCTATTCATGATATCACATCTTTTCAGGTTGAGTCTTTCAAAGAACATAGAATAATAAATTCAGTAGCTTGAACTTACACAAAAGGTTCCTACATTATAGGTTCAGCATGATATAGAGGGAGTCGAAAGATGTCTGTAAACCTAATATCACTTATATGTGATCTGCATGATCTCGGGAATGTAAATGTATCTGAACATTGCATTCTGTTGGCACATGGTCTGCATGATCTATAGGGAATGGGTTGGTATATGATCTGCATGATCTATAGGGAGTGGGTTGATATATGGTCTGCATGATCCATAGTGAGTGGGTTTGTGCCTGGACATTGAATATCGTTGGTACATGGTCTGCGTGATCTATAGGGAGAGGATTGGTATATGGTCTGCATGATCTATAGGGAGTGTGTTTGTGTCTGAACATTGAATGTCGTTGGTATAGGGTCTGCGTGATCTATAGCGAGTGGGTTAGTATATGGTCTGCATGATCTATAGGGAGTGGGTTGGCATATGGTCTACAAGATCTATAGGGAGTGGGTTTGTGTCTGGACATTGAATATCGTTGGTATATGGTCTGCACGATCTGTAGGGAGTGGGTTGGTATATGGTCTGCATGATCTATAGGGAGTGGGTTGGTATATGGTCTGCATGATATGTAGGGAGTGGGTTTGTGTCTGGACATTGAATGTCGTTGATATATGGTCTGCATGATCTACAGGGAGTGGGTTGGTATATGGTCTGCATGATCTATAGGGAGTGGGTTGATATATGGTCTGCATGATCTATAGGGAGTGGGTTGGTATATGGTCTGCATGATCTATAGGGAGTGGGTTGATATATGGTCTGCATGATCTATAGGGAGTGGGTTGATATATGGTCTGCATGATCTGTAGGGAGTGGGTTTGTGTCTGGACATTGAATATCGTTGGTGCATGGTCTGCATGATCTATAGGGAGCGGGTTGATATATGGTCTGCATGATCTATAGGGAGTGGGTTGATATATGGTCTGCATGCGTTTAAATGATCGCCCTTGGTTTAGGCCCAGGAGCAGCGGTGCCTGCGGACGACACATATACAAACCCATACCCATTTCGAAGTCATTCTTAATAATAAGGATTATGATAATAAGGGTATTTATATAGCTCACACTTCCACCACACAAGAGCGATGCTCAAAGCGCTGCACTAACCGTGTTTTCGATACCCCTTTCTAACAAACCAGGCAAGATTTATCAGATTTCGCCATCACATACAGCCCAACGTCCACCCAACGTCGCTCGATTGTGACTGATAGAATTGTGCAGGAAATATAAATATATCCACATTGCTGCACATATGCCCATAGGTAAATCACATCCGAAAACAAATTAGACATGCAACATTAACACGATGAATAGAACCTGGTTTAATAAGAAAAATGCAGATCTGTGCGAAAACAATGATCTGAAGCCAATGAACTGAATGAAACCATAGTGTTTATCGCAGGGACTGAATTACAAGACTAACCAGGCATGAAATTAGCACCCAGTTCAGGAAAAAACATCATTTATAACCCCGCCCTCATTCAAAGAGTTTCTCAAAAAATGTTGAGTGAGTGGGTGAGTGAGTGAGTTTAAGTTTTACGAACGTTTTAGCAATATTCCAGCAATATCAAGGCTGGGGACACCAGAAAAGGGCTTTACACATTGTACCCATGTGCAGTGATTGAAATAATTTTCAAACTCAATCAGACTGTCGGGCAGGTGACCAATAAATGATGCCTGCCCGTCTTGAAAGTTGACTGCCCGTACTTTTGCCAGACAAATAGCCATTTTGTACAAAAACAAACAAGTATCATTGTTTCAAAATAAAAACAACAAGCATGAAATACTCGCAATCACATCCCCAGCCTATGCCATTTGAAACTTGCAATTCTACTTATCGGTTTACATCATCAAAATTACATATTTTCTGAAAATGTTTAATAGCGAAAGGCACCAGTTAACCATTTACATCATTAGTATTTCATTTTAATCAGGCCCGCACAGTATTACCGGTATACCTCAATACGCTTTTCAAACGATACCTCTTGTAATATTTTTATCTGAGAACCGGAATATTGGGTAAAGAACATCTGTGAACTTTTTGTGATTATTGTTACGGTTTAAATACAAATCTACACAGACTTTCATTCTCAACAGATGTTTTCCTTTGTTATTTAATGACAAAACGGCATATTGTAATACTACATATTGTATAAAAAGACACTACAATCCCTGACTATGCAACCTAATTTTGAGATTACTGTTATCAGAACCATAACATATATGTTTAAGGACTAAAAATGTAGAAAATAGGATCGACATGTACAAGTAGTGTCACTTACTGTGAAACACTAAGTTCCTAGTATATCGCAACTCGGGTACCTGAGAACAATTTAGTTGCCAATACACAGTCTTAATTGTAATGACCAGTTTTAAAGTATGATCTTGAAACGAAGCGTACCTTTCATATTTTGTAAGTTCAACTTTCATCATCAAAATACCACAAAATATATACTTCTGAAAATTCTTAACCCATTCAACACCGCAGGCTGGTTTTCAAGACGTCACGAATCCCCAGACACCGGAGGCCGGTTTACCGGCCAGGCAGTAGTCGCGTCAATGTGAAATATAATTTTAGGAACCTACCTAACATATATTTTATGTATTAAATCTGCCACTTTTCATAATGTCATAATGAAAACACTTATTACATTTCAACTGACCACATATTCTCGACAGAATTAAAATTAGAAACTATTTTTTGCAATGCTATTGCAAAACAAACTCTCGGACAAATGTTTCGGCAACGGGTCCACATGTAAATTGTCAATGAGTAAAATAACGATGTTTCGAGGGAACTAATTATCTAAATTGAATAAACTAATCAATAAAGTAACGTAGTGATAAAAGTTGTCAAACGTACATATACGTTACCATTTCCATGTTTTCATGCGATCGTGAAATGTTAGTCAAGTGACATCTCGGCTTTCGTCGCCTCCTTCTTCACGATTTTTAATGCGAAAATATATGCATGAGAAATTTTTGTCACCGGCTGCAACCAAGCACGATACGTCATCAGAGTTCCATAATTTACGTATACGTAGCGATGATATGCTTACGACGTTCACAATAGCACGAATTTACAAAAAACTTGAGTCTAAATGTAAAAGTTTTCCTTCAGGAGGGCGGTATCCATTGCTTTTAAACCAATCACAATCCTTACAGCAGACAATGGCCGAAAAAGCATCATTAGAAACCAATCTTTATCCAATAAAATCGTTTCTTTCAACTGCGAATATACTCCTGGCAAGGTGATATCTAGAGTTTTCGAACGATACCCGCCTCAAATGTATCGTCTTGCGTTATTCATACGAAGCTTCCAAAAGGTGGTATTTATAAATATCAGCCCGACAATCGGGCTGGTGGAAACTGTTTTCAGGCAGCCCGATACGAAAGTTGACAGCCTCGGGCAGGTGTGGGGAATCGAACCCGGGTCTACGGCGAAATCTACTAGGCTACCTCACCGCCCCTAAATGGGATAGAGGACAGCATTGATGATATTCCTATCCCAGATGTAGACAGATTGTACACAATTTTACACGTATATTCAACAAGAAATGATGATCAGGAGTTGGACACTATAGTGTAAAATAAAGTTACATTAATGGAATATATAAACTAGAGAATTACATTTTTTTAACGAAATAAAGCATATATACATGTATTAGATTTGAAAAAAATAAACTATTTTTACTGATGCATTTGAGCTGTTAGAATCGAGTTTAGATCTCAACCTCGTATTTACCTTAGGTACTATTCCTAAGGCATGGTTAAGCCTATTATTCAGGAGAAAGGGTGGTCCGCTAGACCCTGCCTTTTGACGAACTATAGCAACACAGAGTTGTCTTGATAAGCTGTGCAGATTAACACTAGATTAATTAACAATTTAAGAATGAATAACGTAATATCGTTAACCTAAGCTGAATGTCGTAATGGACTTACTGTGTTACTGTATTATCACGATATCAATGCTGGACCCTTATCCTAGCAGGGAATGTAATTACATGAGCCCATCATATGCCAAGAAGCCATTCCCGTCTGCAGAAAGAATTCTGACCGACCAAGTTTTACGATTGATACTGTCGAGTCCAAAATGTTTTATTATAAATGTCATTTAGAATTATCATTATTTGAAAACTGTCCGTACTTACTCAAATTCGTTTTTATCTGGTCCTGAAATGTCGTTATGATAAATGCAATTTACCAATTGCTGCTAGAATAATGCATTCAGACAACAACGTCTGTGTACGCTCTGCGATTCCCTGCCAACAGTTGATAAATTACATTACATATTCCTGTAAAGCTTTTGATAAGCGAAGCCTTTCGCCTGTACCTAGCAGAATTTTAACTTGATCAAATGTGTTTTTCAACAACTGACCAAAACGTCAAAATATGTATCATTTATTTACCAGTTTGAACTGAATTAATGCACATGGCAATCTTCATGTGCCTTGTGGGCAAAGTTCCTGTGGGGAAAGTTCCTTGTGTGCAAAGTTTCTGTGGGCAAAGTACGTGGAATCCAGTACGGAACTTTCCAAAGAAGCCCACAAGAA